TATATATATATATATATATATATGCCTTCCTGTGCAAAACGACTCGCTCCCAATCACTCCCAAGTACGGAACCAACAGAGCACAAGTCTCATTGGGAGGGCTGCTCTCAGTGGCTTCTTACTGTCTGTAGCTCCGCCCCTGCCAGCTTTTCCAAGGCCGTCACTTTGTGCAGGAAGTCCGCATTCCTCTGGCCCTCCAGATGATCCAAATACCCCGTCAATCCCCGGAGAAGGTTGAGAATTTGCACTGCGCGGCAGGGCAAAGCATCGACCTAAGCGTGGGCGGCTTGACTGCCGAGGCGGCGTGCTACAAGCAGAAGGTACTTGCGAAGACGCTAATGACACAGGGTAGCTGTACTGAGGACTACGGGCCCCTTCCTCTTCTTCATCATGGTTCGCCACAACGTCAGAGAGTCCAGCAGCTCGTAATGCATTGACACCAGTGCCACCCAACACGGTGTAGCAATCCTTTCTGGTCATTCTATCAGCCAATGCCTCCAACTCTTCACCTGGAACGTCCGCTTTAGGCAAAGACCCTCTCCCTTCTGGTTCGGCGGCGTTCGTTGAGAGACCAGGTTCCCCTACCCCCCCTGCAGTACATGCAGGTGCTTCCCACAGTGTTGCTGAGAGCATAGACAGTCTGGCGACGCTGCTGTCGAGATTGTTACTGCCAATCAGAGGACTAGGCATGTCTGTTTGGTGCCGCTGGCGCCTGCGGTGCCAGCTAGCAAGGGACCAGTCCCGCGTTGCCCAACTGCAACAGGATCCGATCAACTCATCCTTATCTTCTCCTTCAGTTTTTCTGAAGGCCTCTTGCGCGTCATCTCCAGGTGCAGGAGAAAGTATTTCTTTGAGACGTTGCATTAGGAACTCAACGCCTAGCGGAGACAGTGTCACGTAGCGTCTCAGCCTCACCAGCAACTGTGCAAGTGCGCTGCGCATACCTGGCACTGTCAGCGACAACGGCTGGTACAGTTCATGGAGAATCAAGTGAAGCTGCATACGGCACCCCAATGGACACCTACGACACCACTCCCAGCGACCTTTGTGACTCCGCATTGGTACAACGGGACGGTTCCGTCCCGTGCCGTGGCCACCAGTTCCCAGTGATTCCTCTCCAGAAGACTCTGCGCATGCAACCCAAAAAGAACTTGTTCTATCTGCTAGTGTGCACTTGCCGCATGTGGAAGACGCGTGCGCAGTTGCTGCATGTGGAAGACGCATAAACGAGCAAAACAGCACCTGAGATACTCCGTTTGTCTGCTCACCTGAATGAGAACGTGCCGCGGCCGTCTTATCTATGGCAAGTTCGAAGGCCATAAGATGTTGCCGCCACGCTACCCGTACACGGCATGGCTGACCGACACAGATGCTGCAGGAACACCCGCAGCCTTCCGCAACCTTGCTTGCTGATGATGAAGCATGTCGCGTCTCGACGAGCTTCTGGAGAGCGCGCACCAGGCACTCAGCATATTCGCCAAACACCGATGCATATTCCGCTGCATACATCAACACGACACGGCGCTGCCATATTCGGCTATATCAGTGTACTGCTGAGAACTGCGTCACATTGGCATTTGATTCACCGCTCACCCCCACAGCTCTCGTCCCCCTCTAGTTTAGCTCCAGCGCACAGGCCCCCATAGTCTTCCCCATACATATAAATATCCAGCAAGTTTTATGTCAGGCAACGAACGTCTTTATACGCATCAACCGAGGCATAAAAGAAAGTGAAAGGTGACACTTGGCTGTGGCAAGCCACTTACCTAAGGTTAGGCTCCGAATCTGCTGCTCTGTCAGAGGCGCGTTTGTTACATTCACATACCACTTCTCCAGGGCCTGCAGTCCGTCGGCCTCAACACATTCCCTCCCCTTCAAAAACGTTTCCCAAGGACTATCAGGTGAGTAGGATGTAGATGGGTTCGTCGTACACTTCGAGCGTTTCCTTTTGATACAAGCTTCGTCAGCTGCGTTAAATTCACCTGAACCTACCACTGCTGAACAACGGCGCAAGCGCCCATCACTGTCCTGAGCAACCGCCCATGCTGCAAGAATCGGGCCTCTTTCATCAACGATGCAATACAGACCTGGTTCACAAAAAGGTTCCTTCGGAGCAACCCATGGCCCTAGGGCAGTTGTTGCGTCCCGCAACGAGGGGGCCCGAGAGCCGATAGTGTTGTACCGCTTCAAATCTTCATGAGACAAGACTGAAATGGTTGAGTATGCGCTGCGGCGGGGGAACAAATGAACCAATGCCTTCCAGTACCGGCGCGTCCGAATGGCACACCGCCTGGCATGGAGGGTCACCCTCAGACAATGCAGCCAGAGCTTCGCAGGGGAGATGCCCGCACACAGAACAGTAAGTGGAAGTGGCTCGCCGTGCACCTGTATCACTTTGCCCCCCATTGTCCCGTGTGGAACGTTTATAGCTCCCCCAGGAGCCGTCGTAGATGGAGACGGTTCCCCCTCTCGAGAAAATACCGGACATTCACTCAATCTCCCGCCTTCGCTAGCAGCCTGAATAGTTCTGAACGTACACATTGCGCTGCTGCTGTTATCTATCTTGTCGTGCGATTCTGCAACTGCGGCATTCCTCCTGAAGAACCGGAGGGCGCTAAGGGTGCAGCTCAATACTACACGGGCTTCGAGCAACCCAGCATCTCGGAGAATTCGTTTTCTATCTGCTGAACACTGCCCAGGCAGTCCCCTCTTCTGCTGCTGGGTTCGTGCTTCCCCCAATTGAAAAGGCTCCAAATCACGGTCTGTTTCTTGGGTCTGTTCTTGGTGGTGTCCTTCACGTTTCGCGGCTAAGCCGCTGACTCCATCAACTGCGCAGTGCGGCGTCGGCAGCTGCAGCCCAGCCCCGTTGCTTGGCAGTTTACTGCAGTGATGGCGAACACCAGCTCTCAGCACCCGCCCATCAGACGTATGAGCTGGAGTCGTTTGATCCGTACGTTGTTGTGCTTGTACGTATTGCTGCTGACGGGCATCATGCAGGTCGGCGAACAGTTGAGCGAGGCTATGTGGCGCAACACTGCGTTCCTGTGACCTCTGAAAAAGCAGTCGCTGCTGTTGCTGCAAGTGCTCTCGCTGACGCAACAACTGGCTCTGGTGTTCCCTCAGTGCCATCTGCATCTGCTGAAGTCTGTGGGACTTGACATTAGTCGCGTCTTGTAACTCAGGCTTTACTGGTGAATGTGCCTGCGAGGCCGCGGAGGCCAGGTCAACCAGTGGCCCACTACCATCCAAAGACGTGTGGCCTTGGGAAACTTTATCCCCAGAGCTGCAAATGAAAGCTGCTGATTGAACCTGCTGCTCCTCGCATGGAGTACGACGTCTGGAGGGCGTCACTTCTAGTGGTGCAAGAGCAGCATCTTGTTGAGGAAGTTGGTTCAGCAGGAGGAGCTGCTGACTCAGGAACGAAAACTGCTCTTCCGGCGTGGAGTCCGCCATCGCTATAAAACCTTAAAATGTGCCGCCAACATTTACTCCCACAGCAAGTTTGCCCTAGCACAACAAACAGTTGAATGAAGTGGGTAGATGGTGCTTGCCGAGGCCGCCTGTCAGGTCGCGAATCGCTCACATGTAGACCGACAGCACAACAGCGGTTGGTAAATATCCTATGCCTGGAATGCTAGCATTACCCAGACAGCAGATGCCGCCATTTGTGTGTTTTGGTCCCCCTGGCCGAACTGTACAGCGCAGATTCCTCCTCCCCTCCTAGGACGCCGCTTCCTAACGGAGGAGGTGTATTCAGAGTGGCACACAGAGGCAAAGCACCATGAAGAATGTGGCTATAAGCAAGAAGTATGCAGAAAGTACGGCTAAAGCCACACCAGCAGAGCTAAACTTTCCGGGGTAGCTGCTAGCCTACGCCTCGAGTCACCGAACGCAAGGGAAGACTCGATTGTCGCCACCCTATATATATGGCGCAACGACCCGTTCCATAAACACACTTTGTTAGTTGAGTTTACCGTGAACTAAATGGTGGCACAATAAAGGCAAGATTACAGCAGATACCCAATTCCGCGCGTTCGCAAGAGAGCCTCACACAGTTACCAGCACGGGACCAAGACGATGCGTCACTGAGGAATACGCAGGAGAGGCTTCCTAGTAATTCTTCTACTTTTCACTACTTATAATTTATCAGTTTTATTGATAGAAACAGCATAGCTCCCGCGGATGTGCATAAACGTTTCGTTAGGACTGTATTGCTGCGTTGGATGACGAGCAACCCAGAAGCTACCACTGTAGGCCAACAGTTAGGCACCAGTTTCAAGTCGCATGCTAACTAGTCTTCCTCCCTAACTCCTTAAGTAGTTGTTGCAAGAATATCTGCAAGGGGCTTAAATGCTTCAAGTTGGTGGGGCATTTCTACTCAGGAACAAGAACACATCAGTGGCTGGGCATGGCACGGCAGCAGACGGAGGACGCTGAAACCCCACAACTGCATTGCTTCTGCTAAATGCCCTACTTTCATTTCATCTTCACACTGTCGCCAAGACAGTGGCAGGTGAATACTTGGTAGCATGTGGGTGCAGGACACCGGTCGGACCGACGCACCACTATCAGTGATCGATAAGCACTGTGCTAGGTGGAAAGGCGTTCAGCTGCAGGTCTCCAGCTGTGCATCGTGGTCCCTTGTTCTTTGCTCGAACCTCTGCTGCCTGCAGGTCTCAGCAAATGGTGTAGCGGTTGCTTGGACCTCAGCTGGTGAAACAATGTCAGTAACTTATGACAAGTTGCTTTGCCGCTAGCAGTTTTGGCAGTATAGTACCTCAGCAACGAATATTAGAGGTCAAGCGAAAGGCTGCCACCTATGCTGGAGTATTTAGCTCCCTTTGTGCATATGCTTGAGTGAATGGAGCACTCCTCACCAAACTGTAAAAAGCATGATAGTTAACGTCTTCTCGTGCGCAGTGGGGAGTGGCACTACCAATAATCTCTCGGGCTTTGCACTACCTCCACTAGTGACCTTCTAGTCGCCAGTAATCTTCACGGATGTGCGTAATCTCCATATGTTCATAAAGTTGGTGCCTGCTAGAGTGTTTGTGCAGCGGCCTTCCGCCTGCTACTAGGGCCGGTTCATGCGTGTCGCCGCCGGGCCGCATGAGGCAGTGTGCAGCACAACTCGACAGGCTTTATTGAACGGGTAGATTAGTAGAGAATACATATCTCGGGATGGTCGCAATCTTGCTCATGCTCAGTTTCTCCAACCAGCGTACACTGAAGTAATCTATGGTGCGTGAACTTCCTCGAGTTTTGGCTGATGATACCCTATATACAGAGAAGTACTATCGTATTATCAGCATTAACGACACAATATTGCAATCATGTAGGGAGAAATACATTTCAGTAGCTTCTCCGTAACGCTACGTTCGTTCTGATGTAAAAAAATAATTTGGTAGACTCTGTGGAGTTTCAATCTATTCGGGGCCTTACTGCCATCCCAGCGTATCCGTTAGCACAAGAAAAAACATTTTGGTTTAATTACTCAGGGAGAACATCTGCATGCACAGGAACGAGTGCATTGCGCTCTACCCAAATATTTCGAGCTTGGGAGCTCCTACAGAGCTTGACAGGCGTTTTTCACCGATATGTCGTTTGACGCCTTTGCATTCAAGGACTAAATCGCGTTCCCTCCAAGCTAGTCAGCGAGGAAAGAAGACGGACGCATGATGTCTTTGAACGAGTTGCTTTTGAGAGGGTTATTGCGAACCAAACATGAGCGAATCGAAACGCTGGTGAAAGTTTAGTTTCAAACTGCGTGAGCCCCTTTGACACCACACAGAATTTCGATTCCTGAGCATCTTTGCTCACATAAAGACCAAAGGTTCGTACTCCCTAAACAAACGAAATGCGAAACTTTCGGTTGGCCACAATCTTTAGGCTCGCATCAAACACATTACTACAGCTGTTGACAGAATCAAGTAGCTCCCCAACATCGTGCAGCTTGGTGTCGGCGATCCAGAGGCTACTGCTGACACTAAAAGTGAAGGCATGCTTTTTGCTAGGTGCGTATTCAAAGGGCACTGCTATCCGGATGTTTGAAAGAGATTCAACCAGCCATTCACGAATCATTCAGTAAGTTTCAGGGTAGGCGGCGATTCTGGAAAGATATAGGCGACTGGCAAGCCAAACTAATGCCTGGCTTTATCCTTTAGCGTCTTCGCCCAGGTGATCACCAATCGCGCCCACCGTCTGCTTATCCACGGTGGGGTAAAAAGAAGATGTACTCCGTCAGCCAGTGTAATTCCGATCTTTGAGACATTAGGCCCGCGGCTGCCTTGCAGTGACCGGCTGAGCTGAGGGTACTGCCTGCAGGAAAAGGTTTGTGTCCAACCCACGTTTCCGAGTTGGCGGAATCCCTTGCGCTTGTCCCCCTGAGCCGCCTCGTGTGTGCCATTGAAGAACCTTGTGTGGTAACTGGAGCAAGGCGAGCCCGGAAGGCTGGAGGGATAGATATTCGAATGGTTGGAACTGACTTATCGAGCTGCGTGTTCTCAAGCGAGCCAGCGATATCACCGTTTGAGAGCAGTGGCTCCAAAACAATCTTTAGCTCATTATTTAACAAGCCGGAACTGCTTGTTGAAGCATATGAGCCGTTTGCTGGAGATATTGCCCTCTCATGGGACTCTGGAAGCCCTGAACTCTTGAGAACGTCCTCGGAAGGCCTTGCCAGTTCTGCTAGTGGTAGAGGAGGATCGGAACCGTGTTGAGATTGACCGGAAACTTGTCGTGAAGGCGAATAAGAGGGACCTTTAAGAACCCGCATCGTCTTTGCACGAATATATTCCTTTAATTCGCGTTCAATATCCACAACTTCTTCTATATCTGCGGCTCCGATCAAAAGGGCCAGGCGAGCAAAAAACCTGCCAAAGCCTTGGTTTTGTGCTTCAAATTCTAAGGAGTAGACGCCTTTGCAGCGCACGCGCCACGCATGGGACATAAAATGTCTAGCGCATTTGTTACAGTATTTTTGCGTACTACATGAGTGAAATCGAGAGTTATCTAACATCTCTAGGCTACGGGCTTGGTTTTTAGGCGAAGCTGCATCCCACTCTGTGTGATTAGGCACAGTACGTTCTCGGTCGTCCGCCTGAGGTTCACGGTGAATAATACTGCCGTGCTCAGTTCGATTAGGGTTTGGACTGTCCCCAAGAACATGGGACGTCTCTTTTGTATCATGCTGGTAGCTCGCATTGTTGCCAGTTATGGCGGCCTCTGCTTCAGTCAGAGCGTTCGTAGCCGCCGCAGTCTTCTGGGGATGCCCGTAGAGGCGGTGGCATTCGCTGCCACAGAACGCCAGGAGGAGGCAGACATCATATCCCCATGAAGACGCTTCATTTTGTTCATGCCTCATGTACCTGGTGAGGAATCCATGACTTTGCAGCGCGAAGCAGACTTGTCGCTGCTTATTTTGCTCAATTTGTTGTGCTGTGGATGTCCCGTGGAAAATAATTCCGCAGTGCCCAGGAGCAGCGTCATTCTCCTCCATCGAATTCAGGATGGATATGGGCACTGTTGAGCGCACTCTGCTAACCCCATTTTGCCCCGTGGGAGAGGCACCATTGGTGGACAGGATGAACTGAAGCAGCAGAGTGACAGCCCAACTGAACCTCATCTGTGGATTTGATCCGCAAAGTATTCCCATTCCTCTGGCCCTGCTAATTCTGGGGAATGTTATATTCATGATTGACAATTGGGTCTGGGCAGGGCCTACTGTTCATACCCAGACCAGGACCACTGAAACTATCAGGAATTATGGGAGCCTGCACTCGGCTATCTCGTCCGTGCCTGCGGATATCGAGGTCCCTTGCTGCATGGAGCCTGAAAGAGCTAGCAACTCTGCAATTTCCACTCTCCCTCGTCATTCCTAACTTAGCCACGGAATGGTTGTTGACGGTTGAGAACCATCATTTCCACGGCGCCCCTTCGTACTTTTTGGCTTCCCCAGCGGACATGCGTAGCAGAACCTTTCTTACGCTGTATTTTCCATTCGCTTGCTGTGCACAATACGGCTCTGCCCATTTCGTCTGTACCGTCGAGTGCCATGTGTCGAGAAATCGATGTTCTTGGTAGCCAGTAACGCGTCTACCGTGAGGCTCGCTACACGTAGACTGGAAGCTACGAACGCTTTTAAAAGCCTCAAATTTAAGTAGGTGAAGTTGAGCAACAGGTATCCAGATACTGGCGAGTGGCAGCCTTCCTCTAGTGCGCTACGTGCAGGAACGGGGCTCCAGGTGACCCTTAATGCTTCAGCTGAAAGTGTGCTCCCACAATGTGCTCTCTCCAGTTTTGCATTTAAAAAATATTTCTTATATACGTGTGCTACGATTTATTACCCTGAACCTCCTTAAAGCCGTGTTTTCGGTGAATGGTGCCTTCTGGTGATTGCCACCGTAGCAAATCGCAGAGCTCGCTTCAGGGTACTTGTCTTCTACAAAACTCTAGCAGGATGCATGGATGCCTGCACAAACTTCTCAAGGTTATCTTTAAGGCACTTGTTTTGCCATCTCTTTTCCCTTCTGTAGCATGGCAACTAGGAATCACTCCAGCTCCCGCGAAAAATATATCGCCATCTCTTTCGCCTACGCACCGGAATTATTTCACTACCCGGGGTCTGAATTCCCTGTGAAGCATTGATTTGATATGTTTCATGGCGGTGAATGCAACTGTTTACGGAGCGGACGTGCAGACGCGCCAGCGAGTCCACGCGTAGACACGAAGCCTGGGCAGCCAGGCGTTATTAAGCAAATATGAAGCTGACTTATTTGGGTCTGCAGCTCAGTTCTGAGGTTTCTGAACTACAAGACACGACTCTACCCCTGGTCATACACTATATCTGCAACAACCTTACGTGATGTTTACTAACGACGGGGACGTCGAGAATATGGGGTAACTCCAAGGCTGAATAGTGTATGCACAAAAGGAGATGTAGACTCAGTACTTCCTGAAACGGGGACCTACCAGCAGCAGTTCTGCATGTGAAGAAATGCTATCAACTATGTAGGTGGTAGAACAAGTGGGCAGTCCACTTTCACAAGAAGCACTCCTACAGGTCACAGCCCTCTGCACGTGTCACTGCGTCGAAACAACCTTGCCCCTGGGTGTCGCCTACCTATATCGGTAAATGAGTAATCAGTTGACAGGGCTCATCAGATATTCCTTATGTCCTTCTTGTTGATGGTCGTGTGGTACGGCTAAATTCTACACAAGCACACTGGAATAGAAACTAGTGGAAGTAAGCGTCACATACCCTAGATTCTGTAAAGCCTAAAATGAGGTGTACAGCATAAGCAAAACAAGCTTGATATATTTCAGAATCATTGCGCACATAACGAGGAGGGAGCTCACGTGTCTGCCTTCAAAGCAGTTGTGCGGCTGGAAATAGCACATGCTCCATTGACATGCACCAGCATTTGTAGGCATACACACCGCGGTTCCCTCCTATGTCAACTATGCTTTCCCAAATCGTCTTAATAGAAATGAGTATGTGACCCCCTTAGACTGAACTATCACTCTGAAAATTGCCTCTTGTAGCATTCATACTTACTGTAGGTCAGGCGCTTCCCCACGCTCGCTGGTTCAGCTGCACTAGTACTTCATATTTGCAAAGTCTGGGGTGCGCCAGTTGACTTAAATGCCAGTGGGTATGGCATACCGTGCGTAACAGTAAACTCCCAAATGTTGTCCCGTGAAACAGCATTTGTACAACATGCTGTATCCCCCATTCTAACCCAAGTGTGTTGCCAAAATGTGCATATTGAGGCGATTCCCACGAAAGGCAGTCGTCCCGTTGGTCGTCATATCATGCCGAGATGCAGAACCCCACTAATCTGCGAGTTCCCTCTGCAGAAGTTCCACTTCTTGCTGCAATGATTCCACCTTACTCTTTAACGCAGCATTCTCCCTCGTCAAATTTTGCACCTCTGAGCGGAGTGCGTCCACCTCCACACCTATGCGGATACACAATGTAGGAAGATAATATACACATCTATCCTGAGACGAATATAGAGGAAAGATTTGACCACGCTAGTGCGTCGGGTGCCAGTTACCTGTAGGTGCTCCAAGGTGCCTTTTGATGTAGTCGAGCGCGTTCAGTGGACGCTCAGGAGTCTCATACAGCCCCACGAGGACGCGTGTCAGCTGACGAATGACTCCATGGTCCTCTAAATACTTCCTAAAGGCTGCTTTTCCCCCTTCTCCTTGATCTGTTTTGGCATTCATCGTCCAGCCTCAGTATTCAGTCCGTGTGTCCCAACTTGCTGTACCCTTGCGTGCCTGAGGAATGTATCGCACGGATTTGATTCAATACCACGTATTCACCGGGTCTGCTCTTCTAGCCCCATAGACGCAATAGCCAGGCAGTAAGGCCTTTGGATGTTTGAACTCCCTCCACCAGTGTGCTCATCTCATGCACTCGCGAACAAAGGGCAACAAGGCCACCACATACAATTAGGCTCACGGGAAACTTGATTGTTGTGTCTCAATGGAAAGTTGACACGAACAAACTAAGCAGCACTTTGGCAGATGCTTGGATTGCCGTCGGAGACAAAAGCATGGTGGGAAGTGACCGCTAGCCACCTCACAGCAGCCTTTGCCGCTCCAGAGACGTTTATCTCTCCACAGCCATACATACATTAACCCTAAAACTCAGACACTAAAGCCATGAGCGGTCCAAGGAAAAAAAAGAAGGAGCTATTTGACCACCGTAGCGTTTTCAATCGAGCAGTTGGCCAAGGAGCTGGTGCAAAACAGTCCCGCCAGCCGCAGATTTAAGCCTTCATTGAAAAAATGTTATTTTTGACCGATTATGTAGTGTGGAAAGCTCGAGTAGAATGTCACATGTTGACTCGACAAGCAGAAGACAATCCGTCCCCCAACACGACCAGTGACCCTGCAGCCGTGCTTGATGGCGGTAATCACTCCAACAGTGGTCAGAATCAGAGGTGTGCTGTCTAATTTTCTTTACTAACTGTGAAGCCAACGGCTATTTGTATGCAAGACAGTCCTCAATTCTGCGAAATTTTGCGCGTGGATATTCAAAGCGAACAGTTTCAAAAACGGTCTGCTGTTGTCTCTTGGTGGGGAGAACCTTTACTTGCCTGGTTTTAAACGTAGACTCTTTTCGAACTACTTGTGCACGAACAGAACATGTTGGGATGCAAGCAAAGGCCGGAACAGTCTATTGCTACACAGTATATTGAGCCGCCCGGGTGAGCTAGGGGATGCATGCCCGGGCAGCCCCGAAGTGCGCGAGCAGTTTCTGGACTTTCGTGTCTGAAACACAGCCTAAAAGTTATTCCAAGCACAGGACTAATTGAGCAAGTGAGTTTTTGACTATTTACTCAGGCGAAGTTGTGCGGGATAACTCCTGCCCATAGTCTTCCCACACGCGTCGCATCGCTCACGACTGCAAGCATTTGTTGCTAGAGCACAGGGGCTGGAACCAGTGTTTACCGAGTAGGTCAGAAGCTTATTTCATCCAGTTTGGCGCCTGGATGACGCTTACTTGATAACAAGTGCAATTTATCCCGTAGTTTTCGGCAGCTGGTTGGTCTGCAGATATAGATTGCTATGTCTCAAGACCTACACCGCTCTACCTCATCAGTTGTGAGGTAAGGGCTAGTGATACTTTCGGAGGACTTCTACCATAGTAAGGCTCGACTTTCATTGCAGTGGCTAAAGTTGAGTCGGGGGTCGTATCTGCCTTTCTCCATAGAAACAGGTACTACGCGCATCCCCAGCTGTGCTCGCCTGAGCTTTTTTCAACTATTTCATGCCCATGTGACAAATATACTAGGATCCGGGCTGCCTTCATTCCGGGCAATTTAAGAAGACGGAAGATTAGGAGACGCTCACACCAGAATCATCTGGAAAAGGGACAGACCGATAAACAGCTTTACGGGACTGCAACAGCTACGTAAACGCTTACTAGGGGAAGCAATGCAGGCACGTAAATTTCGTGTCGTTGTGTTAGCACTCCAGCTTAATCGCGAATCCAGTTGGGATCGGCGAATTTGAACCACAGTGCTGCATAAGTGGATAGGGCTGCACACCTGGATGCGCTGCTTGTTAAGGCCACTTCCGGGGAGGTCAGTTGTGGCTCGGAGGAACAGCAAGGACCACATACAACTGCCTTGGAAAATTGCGTCCAAGATGGAAAGGAAATCCGCAAGGGAGAGACAGTGGCGAATGGGGCCCAGGGGCAAGATACATCAGTGCCAGCCTCGCAGACCCTTTCGCCACGCCCACCTTCAAATGCAACAGGCAGTACCCCCGCTCACCAGGAAAGTGCATCTCTTGTGATAGATCCTCGCAGCGATTCCAAACCGCGGAGCACCAACGCTAACCAAATTCGGAAAGCCCTTACCTTGAAAGAGAAGCGTGTCGGCACGCGAGCCCTCGTAGAAAAGACACGGGAGGCATTTCTGCTGGAGATGGCTATTGATACGCGAAAAGCAGGTTAGTTTTGAGTAAACGTGGCGCCCGTATATTAGTTATTCTGGACCTACAGTACTGCGCAGCACCAGGCAAAATCATGTTCACTTTGGCTCCCAGCCGGGCGATTATTCACGGCAGCATCTGCTTAACATGAATTGAAACAGAAATACTCAAGCTTCACGACCGAGCAGCGGAAAAATCAGAGGCGGTACGCAAAGCAGAAAGCATGCTGACAAGAGATGCTCAAAAATTTGACGAATTCCTTAGAAGCAGTGATGCGGCTGCGCACGAAGCCATTCGCGTGAGTAACCAGATTTTCTTGCACGGCTGTTTATATGTACAGCGCGTGCATATTGCTTTTTGTGCGGAGACACACGCCTGCGGATTCGCCGTGTGCTACTCTTTTAGCACGCCAGTACAGTACCTTTGTAAGGCGTGTCTCATTATTGACTGCCGTCTTTGCTTCTACTTCGAAAACGTGCAGAAAGCAGACGAGGCGGCGCGGGTTTCTCAAGAAAAGGCAACGGCTGTACGGCAGCTTCGTCAGAAGCTTGACGCCACGAAGGCTCGAGCGGCATCTAATCGAGAAAAGGTGAAGGAATACTCGAGATATAGAGCTTTCCTAACACATATCACTCCGCAGGTATGTCGGCGTCAGTACATTAGCAAGCCATCGTTAGTTAGAGCCCTTCCTCTCCGTGGCTGTCGAAAGTTAAGCTTGACAGCCGTGAAGGCCTGTTGAGTTCAAAGTATTACACGAGTCCTATATTAAGTGCAGCGCGTAGGCAGAATGCCACTCGAGTCTGTGATTTCAAGCTGTGCAGGATTGGCTTAAAGACCAAGAAGAGCTGTCTAAGGAACGCGTCCAACAGCAAAAGCAGCAATGGGTGCAGAGCCAGCTACAGCAGCAGCAACTACAATATGCCGCAGACATAGAGGCAATTGATGAAGACCTCCACGAAAAGCTTCAGGAGCTGGAGAAGAAAAAGTCACGCGGAGTTAAAGCAAGTGCGGCGGTCGGGTGTTTGTGCTTGCATAGCTCCAATGGAAAATCAGCAATTGCATTTATAAGGCAGAATCACCAATAATAGCTTGTCGATGCTCTGGCCACATGCAGGTGCTGGACTGCGAAAGGAATTGGAGGAAAAGGCCGAAAAGAAAAAACGGCAGTTGAGCAGAAAACTCAAAACTGCTGCAGAATTCGAGACAATATTTGACGGTAGGCGAAGTGTTGCGCTGAAGTGGGGCTCTACTACTGGCATGTGATTGGCAGAAGTAGAGCTGCCCTAGTTCGTTTCAAAAGGTGTCTTATTTCTGACGTTCCGCGGTGCGAACAGCCGAAAACATGGCGTTATCGGCAATTGACCTTTACTTTAAGGATCCACAGGAGCCTCTTCGCCTTTTCAAAGAACTGGAAGAGGAAAACTTGTTCCTGATTCAAAATGCACATGAGACTGTTATTGTGCGGCTGCGCCCATGGCAAGACCGACAACGTTATTTTGTGCCCAGCATTGCCTACCACAAACGTATTTGTTGCTGTATTAATAGATGTCTCTGAAGTAGTGTTCAAGATGCAGACGCACCAAATATGTCAGCAAATAGCATGCCAGAAATATCATCCTGCGATTTTCTGCCCACATTAGACCTATAGGTTTCCTGTGCAGATGGATGAATATGCAGGAGTTGGAAGCAATGGAAAAACGGTTCGCCGACACCCGTGCTGAAATGGGGGCCCGATTGGAGGGACTTGAAACAGTTATTGCACAGCTCCAGCAACAGCTGCAACAGCAGCGTGCCAAATGCATGCAACATCGAGGTGGGCAGCTACCGTTTCCCCCTGGGGCGCATGATATCAGTCAGAACCCTTCCAACTACTCCCGTTCTGTTTTGGGCAAAGGTTGGGGGCTTTGGTTAAATCCTCTGGCCTACATCAGCACTCACATCCGTGAGGCGTGCACAGAACTAGCTCCAGTAGTTAATAATGATATGATAGAAGCGCGGTTGCTTTCAGCTGTTGCTCTGCAGAGGAACTGGCCTCCCAGGAACAAGAATCCGATGCTTCCGCAGCACTCCAAAAACTGACGGTCCACGTCTCAGCTATACACGCAGCTTGTGGCTTTGAAAGTAAGCGGTTTGCACATATTTGCCAAACGTTTAGGAAGGCCATACCAATTCTTACCTTCTATCTTTCTGATGACTTGCTCAGCTCCGAACCGATACAGAATTCTTGCTGCTCAAACTTGCATTGCTACGCCTGGTCGCCAACAGGTTACCTCCACTGTTCTTCGTGTTCCTAAAGTTCAAAGGATTGTGCCTATGTTTAGGCTTTCTGCGCTGTGGGGACAGAAGAGGCGTCTGTTGACTGCCTACGCATGTTAGAGCAGATTGAAGCTCGACTAGACTCGCACCTTGCAGCGCTTGCCAAGCACGAAGGCAAGCAGTCAAGCGCCCGTTCTAACAAATCCAGCCAGCGGATGTTTCGATGCCACTTTTCAGTGAAGTGTTGTGCTAAAGAGGGCGGCTCGCCCCACCTTGACTGTTTTGAGTTAGCTGCGAAGGAGTGTAGTCAGTCTGGAGCGTTTTTGTGCGCGTGATGTACAGCGGAAAACCCGGAATTAGTGCATCAGTTGGAGAGGGCTAAGGAGAAGCAACGGCGTGAACGAGCACGCCAAGAAAAACTGACCCAACAGCACCTGAAAAATGACGAAAGATTGCAGGCAAGCTGCCTGCGAGCAGCATATTAGAGTACACACGTACACCATGGGAACAGGGAACGTCAGTAGAATGCGTGCTACTTCGCAAAATGGTGTGACTGGAATGCGACTCAGTTGTCACTTCGGCAGTCTAGTGAAGCTGCATCGAGGCGGCCCCGGAGGCCGGTTATGTTCCGCTCCAAGCCTTTCCATAAGCAAGAAGAGGTCTGTGGGCGGCACAGTCAGCGTCTCTCCTCGCACCGTCTAGCTCTAGTAGAGATTGATGTGTTATCGTGCAGTTTAGAGGCTTCCAAGGCTCTTCACTACTGATTGGCGGGTTGCTTCTTTTTCACTCCTCGTGTGCACTTAGGCGAGTAGCAAGGATACTGGGGAATCAGAGGCGGCGCTTGATTACGAGCTCTACTTCCAGTAGTACTAGTCTGCGCGCTATTGGGAGCGTAGACCCTACGGTTAAACAGGGATGCGCTTGTTTCACCATGTGGTGCAACAAACCGGACAATAGCATGCACACGTAGAGTTGGTGCTGAAGAGAAAAAGGCTTTAAGAAACGCACAGCACCACTGGAATTGTATCCGGGAAAAACTGCAGTTTCGTTTTGAGTTCTTTGGATCCATGTTTCGAAGCCAGCCATCTCCTTGCTAGGCTACAACAGGACAGTCCCAGGAGTCTTGTAAACAGTATAACAGGAACCCACAGCAGCGGGAGAACAAGTGAGCGGAGATAGCATCTGTTGTTGCGCTAGCATTACTAAGGGCAGAAACATGTACATGGTCGTTCATTTGTCTGATGAACTGAGGAGACTACCAGCGTGTCACAAAACTCGAGATGAGGCCGAAATACCATACCCATCGCCAACCAAAGCGTTCCGCGTAACCGCTCGGAATATTATTATACGCTCGGAATAAGTGCTTGCGATGGAAACAGTTCAGCTAGTTAACGAGGCAGTCCCACGCATGCCACTTACACACACCCCTAATATTAAGTGCGTGGGATTTTAGTTCCAGAGGGCTCAGCATTGGAACCCTTGGATTTCCCCTCATTAGAGCTACATTAGAGCGCACTGTATTGAAGTTGCATGGGGAGTACACTTCGTAGAGTGGCCTCCAAGAAGACTATTTTGCTACTGTTGTTCCTCTGTTTGAAGAGCCAGACAGATGCGATTACATGAAGCTAACTCGCCGTCCGTCTAGCCGTTCTTCTACACATCGAAATCTAGCGCTTGCACTTCTATCTGTAAATTGGCAGACGCGATTACATGAGGCGAACTTGCCGTCGGTCTAGCCGTTCCCCTGTACATTGCATAGTCTATCGCCTGCACTTTTATCTGTAAATTTAGTAAGCAACACCACTTGTGGTCAATCTATTCGAAGAAAGGTGTCGACACAATTTAGGGGAGCACCCCCCATTGCTTGCATGGGTAAAAACAGGCTGTCCAATTGGGAATGCCATACTCGCCTTTCCTGTGAAACAGGCTGGTGCAGTCATTCCAGGTTGGAAAGGTTTTCCAAAGGGTGGTGGAAACGCAAGTTGTGGGTTGGCAGTTAACACCGGAGATACTTGGACCCGTTCCACGGGAATGCTTACTGCTGGGGCTGGTGAAAACGGTAGTGCCAAAGCTGGTGACGGCTGTGCAACACGAACTGTCTGTGTAAGGGTGGTTGGCTGAAATGCTGGGAGCACACGCGGGTACACAGCTTCTCCTAAATTGTGCCCGCTAGCAACTATAGGCCGAGGCGGTGGTAGCGTTTCGTGCCCCGGGCATGGTGCAAGGACGTATGCTTCCCTACACGGCCCACAGTGCTCGTCAGAGGCACGCCACCACGGTCGTTCATTCATTGTCACACACTCTTGGGGTGAAAGGAAGGTAACCAGTGTAGGAGGCCTCCGCCCCCGCCTCCGCCCAGAACGCATGCGACGAGGCAGCGTCTTAAGCTTTGCATGGGCGATCCGTAAATCCTCAGCAGCTTCTTCAAGCGTCCATTCGGCCATCCCCATCGAAACTTTGTCTCGTGGCTGCAAGAAGTGGCAATTTACCTGAAAACAGCATTCGGAGAGGCTTTTCTCTCGTGCATTCCTGCTAGACGTTACCTAGCAAGACATGCAAGACAGTGTATACACGTGCCAGGGCATGGCATTGTGACTCTACAGCATATCCACTGCAACTGCTCGAGTCACAAAACCAATGGAGATACAAGATATTGGCTCCGGAATCGCAATACATTAAAGCATGAATTACGTCCGCCTACCCCAATTCCAGTTCTATTTCCTGTTGTCAAAGGATTTCAGATTTTAGTGTCACTGGTCACTTCTAGGAGCTACGTTCCTACCACATTACATCTCTCCCAGTTGTGTAAAGTCTAAGTTTAGTTATTTTTCCTACTTGATGCAGTTTTCGCTGCGCCGCCAGGATGAAGGAAGCGGTGGCAAGGCACCGTGCAGGTGCATCGGGTGGTGGAGGCTCTGGTGAGCTCAAGTAATATTCATATGTAAGTGCAAGATCAATTACACATGCTTCGTGCCTAATCTCAAGGTCCTCGAATATCTTTCTTGCTCTTGACATACGACGGGCCATTGGTGGATGCTTGTGGCAATGGCACCCGCAGCATAATCTGCTGCAACACGTACGAATCTTTGCACATATCCTACCCCTATTCCTGATCCATTTGTGGCGGACTTTCTGTGCCTTACGAAAGGAAGGAGCAACATCTAGGAAAGCATCTAAGGCCATGTGATAATGTCGGCAAGCTGTATTTACAAAGCTAAAATCAACCCTGCATCTCCCAGCCGCCGTGAAAGGAGCAAGCAATCGCTCAATCAACAACAAAGGAGCCTCTAGATGGTCAAGTCCCTTTAGTAAAGCTATTCTTTCTTTCGCTAAGCAGTCTCCGAAAGTCATGACTTCTTCTCTCATGCGGTGTGCTGTGGAGAGTAGAAGTGCCCTCCCAGCGTCACACATAACAAGCCGTGCAGCTGTGCCGAGGCCAAAGATTTCTCGGCGTTGCCTGATCTGTACTATCTTTTGCCCTCTGCTTCTCTTTTTCCCGTCCTCGTAGGGATAGTAATGTCCATCTGCACGGAAAGTTCATGGGTGTCAATGTTCATGGATCAGTGCTGCTCGACAATGGGTTTCATACCCAGGGCATGCAAAAAAACTACATATACTGCCCCTGCTTACCATAATGTGAACGGTGTCGCCTGCGGCCACGTACGTGGCGGTGACCTCTTCCTCCGGCCCCCATCTTTACAAGGAAAAACTGGAGACCGAGGGACTAGAGGCCACAAGATTTAGTAGGCAATGCACACGACAAACGTTCCAGTATTTAATGAAAAGAAAAATCTATGGTGCCAGTGAAAAATGAGGAGACGGAATGATGTGGAAGCGTTTGAGCCAATGAGATGTGCTTCACTGATCAACAAATAGTCCATCCGAGCGAAACAGGCGAGTTAGGTTGGTATTTTCTGTAAAACAATGATTCAAAAATAATTCCAAAGTTTCAAAAACATTGATGTGAAGCGTAAATTGCTGGAATTTCAAGCCTTCCATCCCCTCAAATCAAGTACTTTAAATACGAGCGATGACCCTCTGGAGTGCCACGTGCCCGTTGTCCAGATGTGCACAACTGCCCGCTCAATTGATTCCAGATTTTTTTCAGTCCCTGTTTCACTAAAACAGGAGCGTATGAGACACCTGTAATCATCCTCAGTATCAGTATTTCGGGGCAGTATCCGGCAGGTGTGATATGCTGTCCTTGGGGCCCCGCGGCGGTGCGGGCTGTTGCCTGCGGCAACATAGCTAAATTAGCGACTCTCAAGGAGCACCAACAAAACAGTTTAGTTGAATATGTGCCTAGCTCTACCTCTACTCGTGGAAGGGCCAAATAGGATGTAGGCTGAGCGTCCCTATCCGTCGAGCACAGTTGCTGCGGAGACTGAACGGTGCTCGGTTGACGCGCATTTCCAGCACAATGGGCCGACATAGGACTCACCTAACTGAAACTGTTCAGGGCCCTCCTAGCTCACGCTCCGTGCTCTTGGCTGGAGCCCAGAGTGTCCTGGAGACAACAGCAGCACGCGTCCGCAACGAGCTTGCCAGTCTCGATGGCGATTTGCTAGAGGAAAAGCTGCTCCTGTTGCAGCAGCTTGACCACCTAGAAGCCACCCTGGCACTGCTTGAGCGGACAGTTCCGCCAGGGTCTAGTGGGGATGTAAAGGTGCTGTCCCCTGAGGAATTGTGCGAGGCCTGCAGGCACCTGAACATGGCCGTACATACAATGCTTGCCCTTGCTCCTAAGTTCCGAGAGGCTACAAGCCACCGCCTGCTCAAACAACTTGGCCCTGGTACAACTAGCATATTTGATTGCTTTTCTCGTCGTCGCCCTCCTGTGGAACTGCCACCAGAAAAACGTAAAAGCCGTTTACGCGTGCAGCTTGATAAACTAGAGAAGCAGCATGAGGATTGCCTTTTAGATTTGCTTCTCTCTTTTGAGCACCTGGCAACAGCGGAAGTGATACCACCACCGGATGCGCCACCTCGTTGTGCTGAAGGCAGTCGATACGTGTTATCGGGTCAGGCGAAACTCCATCAGTCGCATGCAATGGTGTGCCAGCTTCTCATAGAGGAAGACGAATTGCTGCTTCCTATTCTTGAGTGGCAACTGGGTGCGGCTGCTTCAGATTTTGCAGTAGCTAGGGCTGTGCTAGATCGCCTTCCTAGACCACAAGTACGACGCTCGCGGACAAAAATTGAAAGTCATACACCCCCCCAAGCGTCGGTAAATGTCCGCTGCGAAAGCACAGCAAAAATTGTCTCGTGCCCTGTTGCAAGGGAACCAAGCGTTCGATTCGAGGAAACCCTTCTGAACTCCCCTTCAAGAGAGCCAACGACCTCTACACCTAATTTACATCAGAGGGCGCAAAAGCGAAGATGTAACCAGGATGGTGATAGCGGGTACATACCACAGGAACCTACTTCCAAATATTCGTCTCGCAAAGGCTACGAGTCTCCTACAGTGGACAGTGATTGCTCTTACGCCTGCGACAAAATTCGAGCGAACTCGCCCAGTTGCAGCTCTCTTCCTAATCTAGGCGCACTTGGTCCATGCGACCTCTGCAGCTCAGGGACCACCTTAAGACAGCTGCAGACTCCAGTCAGTGATAGATACAGGTATATGACACTAGATACCACGGAGCGAAATGCTGGGCGCATTAGCCCATTCGGTTCTAGAACGGCGGAGTGTGCATCATGGGGGTCGATGGTTGGCAGCGACTGCCGCCGCAGGTAGAAAGCAACAGTCTTCCGTCGCTGTATAAGACATACTGAACAGTATCTGTTTAAGATGGGGAGCGAGTATTTGTTCGAGGTGGAACCCACTGCAGTTGCAATTTTCGTGGGCATTGCCCTATTACTAGCCAGACAAACTTCGCAACTCCTGACTCTCAGTGAGCTGCCACAGCCTAGAAAAATAAGTTCTAGCGTATTGCCTTGTTCTCTGTGGTTCCTTTTATTCCGCTTCTTTCATCCGCATGGTAAGTTAGCGGAGATATCGAATCGTATCTACTTGGCCACCGACGTCCGCGTTGCTTGCAAGTTGAAGCAACATCGCAAAGAACCGCGAACTTTGTGGTGGTCTGCTCAAGGATCACCACTTTTTTATTTCTCATCATTTTGATCGCAGATGGTGTATGAAAGCAAGCCACGTCGCCTGCTGGAGAACAAAATACCGCTAAAGCCTTCTGAATGCACGGGCTTCAAAGCAGTTGAACCGAAAAAAAGGATGAGCATATAGCTTCGTAATATATTTAGCCGCTGCCGCTTGTCTCCGTGAAATGGATGAGGACACTTCCCTTCGTTCATCTACAAAAAGCACTACACTAGAGGCGTAGGGTACCACAAAATCCCTCCCGATGCAGTAACGGAAACGTTGTTTTTGCCAGACAAATTATGTCCGGTGTACTACTTGTGTAGTTCACACATCAGCTGTTGCGAGCCCGTGAAAAAACAACGAGGAATACACCTTTCCGCTGCCCCTCGAGTATCCAACTCAGTTTCACTTTATGACCCATCTGAGCTGTGGTCCATGCTAGCCTGTCTAAGCTGTCTACCTCATTTCACGTTGCTGTCCACTACAGACCGTCGTCACGGGAGCAACGCGCAGCTGTTAAGGACAGAAAGCACTCATGCAAGTTACAGAGAGAATAGTTTAACTGATAACATCGGGAGCTCCAGGCTGTTGGGAAAGTGCAGCAAGGCCCTCACGTCTTGCCATTCAAACTTGACCAGAACGAGGACCACCGCAACCTGGCGTCAAGGACCAGCACAGAGCTGGGTCAATGTGGGTGCAGCCAGGCAAAGACGCAAGGTTCAATCCACACTTTTCCACCAATATATGGGGGGGTGGGGGGGTTCCTTAAAGAGAAAGGCTATGACCTGGGTGGCACTTTCGCGTTTCACGATATACACAGCTGCAGCCCCGTCGGCAGTGCCCCCTCAAGAAATCGGGTCAAGAGCGGTCAGCAATTGCTCTAATTCCCCCCAGTGAGCAGCAGTTTCTTTAATGGAGTGATGCACCTTAAAAAGGGACATACTACTTCGGACGGTAGAATTCTCTCGGGGATCCCTGGGAAGACGCGTGACTCAACGACCTGAGCTTAAGTGTGGTACCCCAGCAGAAGGGGAACAGTGGCAGGCTGGAAGAAGCTTACAGTTAACGCATTGAAGATCTATAAAAGGTTGGTCACATAAATGCATATTTCAGATGTTGCCACCTCTGACGGACTGGGGAACACCTGCGATCTACACAGGAGTAGAGGTGCATGTCCTTAGCGGTGCCGTCTGACCGAAGAGCATAGAAGTTGAGATGGGTCGCCCTTTACATTCAGTTTAGCTTTCTGAACGCAGTGATCGGCTCTCGCTACATGTGACAGGACATTTTCCTGCTACGCCACTGGAGTTTCCTCCGCAGCACTTCGGAACTGATGGGCAGCGGTGGGAACGGACTCATCAACTGCGCAAATCACGATGTCCGGGTCGCAGAACGAAGCAGATGATGTACTACGTGCTTGGCTTTCCAACAACCCGTCAGTTGTCGGCTACGTCGTCGTAAACTCGGATGGTTAGCAGCCAAAGACCACTTGCAAGACCTAAACAGGAATCCACGCGAATGAAGATGTTCATATCTAGTGTTCTTTCTATGATATATAGTAGGATTTAGACCATCCGAATGAAGTTAGTTCCCATGTCTAAGACGTACTTGAACAGAAGAGCAGCAGGCTCTAGTGGACGGCTCCTTGATATTGCTTCCAGATTGTAATCAGCACTAGTGGCTTTACAATTTCCCTTGCGGCATTTTGACACTGCGGTGGTTGCCATTTGTTTAGGCATTCCCATCCGAAATCATGAAAAGTTGTCCAGGGAGAGTTCTGTTCACTATGCTTCACTATTGACGTACGTCAACCCTATAAGCTGAAAGCTCCACTCAGACCAAAAGCTAGTGTACCGAAGCTATTATGTTCAACGAGCTCGACGCTACTTGTCTCCAGAGAGCGCATTATCCGTGCCATATCGTCTGCTATTGCAGTGTATTTTGCGCCAAGGCAAAGCAATACATGAAAGAGCTGTTCCCTAGTGATGTAAGCCAACAACGCTTTAAAAAATAGCATATGTACCAACAGTTTTGCACGAATGGTGAAAAGCCGGCAGCCATTTACATCCGGGACTCTGCGTCTCCTGCGTCTTTTTTTATGAAGGGCGATCTCACCACCGTTCGTGTACGCACGCAAAAAGGCCTGGAGATCATTACCTGCCAGATCGCTTCAGGCTATTCACTGATTGCCATTCAAAACTGCACTGACAAACCTTACTTCTCAAGTGACGCCCCCCCAACAGCGGCTTCTGATGGGCAGGAAGCTGAGCGGGACGCTTGAGAGATGACAAACTAAACGCCTTTGCACACGACTCAAATCGAACTCGTATTTTTTTTATTTACAGAATTGTCAGCCCAAATAATTTAAGTCATGGTTGCAGAAAAACGGGCAGCTTCGGAAACCCCCGCTTGACCACAAACTCCCACATTCCAGTGTACAGAAAGAATCAGCTGACTGAAGTCAGCTGACTGACCAAAGTCACAACTTCCGGTTGCGCTGCGTGGACAGTGGGGCCGCGGGGCTGTTGTGTTGGGGTCCACACTGTCCTAGCCGTGAACACCTCGGTTCACATGGTTCATGCGGAATTGTGCGTATACTCCGTTAGCACAGGGCCGGCGTAATGCCACATGCGTACCCTCCCAGACACTCTTAGCAGAACATGCAGGCTTAAAAGACTGAAACGTGTTTAATAAGGCGCACACTCTGAGGCTGCTTAACATTTGGAGGTTGTTGTGCAGTGCTTTCACCACGCATTTACGAAGTTATACACTACCCAACGACAGTGAAAATAACGCACTAGATCTAGGTTATGAGACAATATCTGCCGTCAGCCTGTGAGGGGAGCCCAACTTCGATTTTCTTCAGATTCACGGTGGTTTGCTTTTCAACCCATCGGAATACACAGAGGTTGTAGAGCTCTTATTCGCTGAAAACAAGGAGGAGCATCATCGGAGAAATGGGTAAGTGGATGCAAAGTGCACACCCGCCGTATTCCTTGGCATGCGCTGGCATCATATCTTTGGTGTGGCATTCACACCTGCTGCAATTCGGAGTCAGCCTGAATAGAAAGCAATCACGCATGCATGAATCTCCGTGGATCGGATATATGACCACCCAGCCAGAGGCAGAACCTCCGCTTGAAGTCTCTCCTTCTTCCCGAGGCCTCAAATTCAAGGTTGCACATCCGCACGTCGCTATTTCATCTGATACCATCGCTACCTAATGTAATACCATGCTTCAGAAGGGTTCGGAGCGGGGTGCGGTGGACCCAGGATCGCTTTCAAGTGGGGAGAATGGCAAATTATTGATCTACAACGAATGCGACTGCATCACTGGTGGTAAAAAACTACACAGGTGTCATTTCACTTGTGTTCTCTTGAGGCATTTGCGCACACGAACTGCCCGCTGTCGTTCAGTGGGCCCTTGACCCAGAATTCCTTAAGGACGCCAGCCCTAAGTCACTCACGCGCAGGTTCACTTGTGTCAATGGCGTTAAGTCGTTCACGCCTAGGTTCACTTCAGGTGTTCAGCTGTTCTGCAGGCTGACCCGGACGGAAGCAGCGTGGCTATGCTTATGAATAAGCATCGTGCCTCGATTCCAGGGAGGCGCTGTCTTTCTGCTGCAAACTAGCCTTCGCGTTGACAAGCTGCCTTCGAATGGTGCTTTGTCGCTTTCTCGAACGTGCGCATCGAGGCATTAGCTGATCACCTCACTACACCATGTAGACGAACAGTACTCTCTGTCTGAAGGTCTTATTTGTACCTGGATCTTGGCCACAGCGGGCTTCAAAGAGTGCCAGGCATGTCATAACCGGGAATTACAGCAAAGTGCGCTTCATACTGCCCTAGGTCACTTTCCAGCTATCTCCATTATACAGGAACACAGCTGCCTAGAAGTCCCGCTAGTAATATCTGGCGGTTCGGGCACCTGTCAATAATCCCTAGAATATGATTTAATTGCATCTGTCAATATGCTAAGTTCTGCTCATCTTGGCCTATTTGTTGTTCCCCAGGACAGCTAGCAACATTATCAGATCACTTTCCTGTGAGGCACGCTTTGGTTCGCTGTGGCACATGTTAAGTGCGGCCATCGCCAAAGATGCTGGGGAGAAGATCATTTGGGGGTTTTCAGTTGGCGGCCGAACGGTCTCCAACACCCTAGTGTGTCAGGCCTTTGCTGCTACAGAAGTAAATATTTGCACTCGGCAGCTCAGCCCCAACGCTCCCAAGCCCCAAAGCCCCAGTGAAGGAAATAAAGCCCTAGACCCCAAGCAGTCGAGCCGTTCCGAAGCTCCGGCTCCGAATGTCCATCCAAAGGAGATCCCCCCGTGAGTTCAGCTTAATAATATTAAATGCTTTATTGCCCTAGCTGCACACAGAATAGCAGACCTCAGACGACTACCACATTCTCACAGAGAAGCTCATGCGGATAGGTAGGTCATCCACGTACGTTGCGTCTAATTCCTAGATGCTAAAAATAGACATTTTTCACAGGAAATGGCTACAGCATAGAACTGAACCCTTCAGAATTCAACGTACCTGTATCTGAAGCTGGCGGCTGAGGCTCTGGAGCCACAGCAGCGAAAGAAGTGAAGGTTTGCGCGGCGTTCATCCGCTTTTGATGCTAACAGCTTCCCGTCTTCTTCTAGAACGCCACAATCTTAGTGCTCGAGCCGACACCGTGTCACTAGATCGTGCTCTGCATCTGCGCAAATCAAAGACATGGGGGCATAAGCCCACAGGTTGGGCATCAGGCTTATTTTAGGCAACTGGGGCGTCCCCCCGATAAGACAAGAAAACCGTGCTCTGGACAGGGGACCGCTTTTTCGTTGACCACCCCGGAGATAGAAATTGCCATCATTCGCAGCACGTACGCTACTCCACCCTCCTCCGCCAGTATGGGATCGCAGCCTCACTGGAAGCGGTAGTTACTTTTGGCCCACACATAATAAACGCTTTTGTTAAAATCAGAGACTGTGTGGCTCCACGGTCTGTCTGGCAAGTGCTGCTGGGTGTAATTACCGGTGCTTGCTCTAATTGTGATTATGTTAGCTGGTTTGCTTGCCTTGCTTCTAGAATGAGTCGCACAATAAGCCAGGTATTTGAGGAGTTCCAAAGGGCAAGGTCGCACTTCGTTCAAACCTTGGCTGATCTTACGCAAAGGCCACAAAATATCGATGGCTTGCGCGCTGCCGGTGAGTTACCTAAAGTACGTCCAACGCATTCATAGTAGAACTTCAAAAGAAAAAACAGGAGTTGAAACACAAGCTCACGAAGGTTGTGTTCGATACGACATCCGCAATATATGCTTGTATCAAAATTCGCGGGGAAAAGAAACAAAGATGCTGATTAGGCATCTATCATGGCTACTCCTATGCTAGGAAGTAGTTGCGGCGAGCCGTCGAATTTTCAGGGGCTCTGCGGCTGTTAAGGCCTCTGCTGCTAGACTCCATCCCAGGAATCCAACAAACGGCAGCAGTTGCAGTAGGAAGGCTTGCCGGGCACAGCGAAGAGGCTGCAAGAGAATGTGTCAATGAAGAGGTCCTCCCCCATCTCGTTGCATCCGTTGCGGAGCAGAACGTGGGCATTCTGCCATAAGGACGATGCCTGATCGTCCTACCTTGGTTCACTTTCTGCAATGGCTTGCTGCACGTTCGCTTTCGCAATATCTGCACCTCTTTTATTGCTGACCTATGCTTCCGCATATCAAAATGAATTCTTACGCATCTCCATGCCTTGGTAGCTTAGGCAGTTAGGGGGCAAACTAGTTGCGCAGCCATTTCGATTAGCATCAGTATTAAACAGCCTCTGGCGTATGCTTTTCCTCCATTTGAACTACTCCTGTAGGTGTGTAGGTGTCATTGTAGAGTGGTTTCTCCGCTCCCGCAGAGATTCTACCGGAGGTCTGCTGCGTTTGTGATGAGGTCCATCGCGAAGCATTCAGCTGAACTAGCACAGGTAATTAACGACTCAGGGCCACAACGGGCCTTCCACACTGTGGAAACAGTCAATCACAGTAATAATTATTCTGGTAGGACGGTTTGCCGATCGAGTGCGACTCCGCCCAAATAAAAACCCGTCACCAATGCAGTTCTGCCCACCAATGGCAGGCTAGGTGCTGTTCTTCGTGGTTTTCAGGCGGTTGTGGACAGTGGGGCTCTGGCAGCACTATCCCAGTGCCTAGAGGCATTCGATCCCCAAGTGAAAGACTCCGCTGCATCTGCAATAGGCACGAGCTTGTGAACCACTACGGGCCTCAACAAATGTGTTTGTGCTCCCCGTTATATTCCGCGTCCCAATTCATCTGCTGATGTTTGCTAACAAGGCGCATGCGGGACATATTGTGGGGTGGCTTTACTGCATTCCTGCCACAGGCTGCATTGCTCGCCACTCGGAGTCCTTAGCATCATCGGTAGTTGCTGCTGGTACTGTGCCACTTCTTGTCCTGTGTATACAAGAACCAGAGATAAATATTAAAAGAAGTGCAGCAGCAGCGCTTGGAGATATAGCCAAACATTCACAAGAACTGGCACAGGTGCGCCAGTTAGATCAAAACTACATGAACTCTGCAAAGCAAGAAAAAAAACGTGAAAGTGGGCAAACTGCTGCCATGACAGTTAACAAAACGTCTATATATTGGTGTGCTATCTTACTCTCTCAGGTTGTCTGTGATGCCGGTGCAGTGCCCCTGTTGTCAAAGCAACTAGGTAGTACAGATGCCGCCGTCCGGCGCCAGGCAAGGCTTTATGCTTATTTCTTCAAACAATTAGAAGCATGACCCCTTTCCTATCCAGGTGGCTGTATACAATGAAATGAATCCTGTTTGATGTGTCAGTGTCGTTTTATGCACTTGGAGGAACCGGCTGTTCCCACAGTAGGATTGCAGATTACCTGTGTGCATACTGCAAGTGTGAAGATATCGTTCCCCACTGTTTCCAGATGAATTGTTTCAGCGTTCCGTTGAGACACATTAGTCAGCGTCTTGACATGTCAAGTCTTATTTGTGAAGCTTCCATTGATTCCTTTTGTGTACTTGGTTGCATCGCCAAACCGCAGCCGCTTGCTGTTCCCCCTTCTGTTGCTCTGCAGATTTGCTGGTGTCTTTCTCGCATCGCTACGCATTCTGTGGAATTTGCTGAGGTTCGGCTGTAGAAAAGTACCGATGCTAGTAACAACATGCAGCAATTTCCTTCTTAGGCACCTGTATTGGTGTCTACGATTAAAATTATGCTACGCAGGCCCACGATTTTCCTGTGATATTCTTGGTAATTTCCCCTCATTGACTGTTATACTGCATCAGGCTGTCGTGGAGGCAGAGGCATTGCCTAAAATTCTGCACTGTTTGAAGGACCCAGATGACTTAGTTCGGTGCGTACGCAAACCAGGGATCTATACTTGCAACTTATGTAGACGTTTTTGTCGTGGTTATTGTCGCAGGAACCTATTAGTCCTGCAGTTACGCATGACTAGGGTTCGAGCAGTGCGGTATGGCTGCGTGGACTACCACTGCGTTATTTTTCAGAAAAAATGCAGCGACGTGCGTGAGAGAGACGGTCAAACATACGCCTCAACTGGCGTTGTTTGCTGCCAATGCGGGTAGGGACAAATGTTACTGCGGATGCAAAATATCAAGCATACGAGGAATTTCCTCGCCAGAGTAACGTACAATAAGTTGAGTAATAAGTTGAGTAACGTACAATAAGTTAGGGAAGCAAAAACACATGTTTTACCGTCAGGCGCATTCGCATGCGCCCCGTGGACGTATTTTTCGTGCCTTATTTTTCTTCAGGAGCTATAGCAGCGTTGATCGACTTAATACAGGAGACAGCTGGGCCATCGCGGTATGCATACCAGAAAGGACTATCCTATCCTTCATGCATTTCATGCTTTCTGCCATATTGCTTCATGTGAACAGGTTTTGCTTTTTGGCTCTATATTGTATTTTCGGGCTCTATATTTTGTTACTCACTTGCTTGCCGCGTTTGGCTAAGTGCAGAAATCCATGGCGCATGGTCCTGTGTTCGTTTTTTTCGGCGCTCCCCAGTGTTGCAGGAATTTTAGCTCTAGGCTACATAGGGGCCTTCACAGAAACACTCGCTTTGGCGATAATTGTTCAGAAAGGTACACCTGCTGCGTCCCCAACTTCTCCAATTGTCCGTTTTTCCTCCCAGAGTTGACCGAGCCGTCCAAGCCATTCCATTGCTATCCCCATAGCTCGCCTACGGTTGCTTTGTCCAATTTGCTGCTCTGCCTAAGCTACGCCCTTTTGTTTGCTTCAGGCATCCCACCCTTAAAAAACGCCCTAGAGACAGAAACTGAAGACCATGCGAAAGCAGCTGCTGCCTGGTATGCCTGCAAACGCGGAGATAAAGTACAGTCCGACAATGGCATTGGTTTACACTTGCTGTTTATTTAGTGAGTCCTATGTGGAGTGAAAACTCCGCGTTATCTGTAGTAATAGTCCGTCCGATGAAGAGAAGATATAGGAAGCAACAAACAACTAATATATGGGAATTACCATACCAAAAATGCCTGCCATAAAAAAAAAAAAAAAATGGGCATGTCTCTTTTAGGGCGGTGGGTCAGCTCGGACGCCATACTCCTGACCACGCCATGGCTGTTGCCGAAGCAGATATTTTAAGACTGTATGTGTTGGATATTGCATCACACTGAAACCGAAAGTGGCTGCCAGGCCCGCCTTATATTCCCACAGCTTATTTGTGAAGCCCCCCACGTTGTTCCTGCAGGCGATATGCATAGCGCTTGGAGGACTGCGCTGCTGTTTGCAGACTATTGTCAGCTTTTCTTGCTCCTGAGTCATCCGATGAGCTGAAAGCAAAGGCAAAAAGGGCACTCAAAGTGCGTGGGGTGGGGTATCCCTTTCGTAGCTGAATCACTGCCGCCAATATCGGCCACAATAAGGTTAACGTGCCTTTCGATATATCCTGCTTCCCTACAGAATATAATACAGATGTGCACACATTTGACAGCGCTAGAAAGCCTACTTGGCGAAGCCCCCCCGTCAATACTCAAGTAAGGACACCGCTGATGTAAAAGGAGAGAGTCATCTGGAATAAACTTTCAGTTTGCCTATCTAGAAAAAGGAGCTAACATACGGCCGGAAAAGACTAAAAGCACACCAGATTTGTTGCCGTTGTCTGCTCTTGCATATTGATTTGTATAGTCTTCAAGCTGACATCTATTAGCTGGGGGGCCTCGTTTCATTTGCGCAGGTGCATTGTGCAACAGTTTGCCAAAGTGCTTCCTAATGATCCCAAAGCGCGCAGAGCCTTTGTACAAACAGGCGCGCTGGAGACATTGTTGGTGAGACTGCACCCAACAGGAGTCAGTGGGCCAGAAAATTTCTAGGCGCATCGTGTGCGTTTGCTGGCATGGCACAATGTAGTTTTTTCACTACCATTCCAGAGATTGCTTTTGTGGATGCTTAGAATACCCCTTCTGTGCAGAAAATACGTGAGACGGAAGCTGCATCAGAAATTCTGGACTACATTCAAAGCGTGTGCAACCTATATCCACCAGAGGTCGTCAACTATTACTCCCCAGGCTATTCGGGTATGGCAGGTTCTGTAGTAATCCTATAGCTTTGATGATTTGTTGAGTATTAAATGCTCCTAGGATGGCGTTCTCGCGTTAGCAGGAGAGCGTTTGGGGACGCCGTACAAACATATATGACCCGTGGGAGACAACCGAGAAACCCGTGTTGCACTCCTGTGCCGTAACCTCATCATGGGCAACCAAGCCTTCCTAGCTGTTTGTTTGCTTCTCTGCTTCGCAGCAATCTTAATGGAGAAGATTGACGCTCAGGCATAGTTTGCAATCCCAGTGAATCTGCACGGTGCTTCCTGTCTGCTAAGAGTAATCTCGAAAGGGCATCGCGTCAGGCACTCCCATTGTATCCAATGGTCACGCAGAGCTTTACCGGAGTAGGCAAGCATAGGGGTTTGCAAATGACCAAGACTCCTGTGCAGCAGCGCTAGGAATGTCCTAGCAAGTGTCGCTCGACTAAAAGACAGAGCCGGGTAATGTACAAGTCTGTTTGTTGACGTGCATGGTTTCAATTCTTCCGGTGTTTAAGGACGACTATTTTGCCTTCACGCGCGGACGGTCGCTTGGCCGGACAAAAGCAGTTACAGACACGGGACCATTTTGGGGATTCACCAAATACACACCACTAGACAGCCTAAAGGACCTTTTTGGCGGTACACCGGATACATATGCCAAGTTTTAATAATATGCTAGCATGCCACCTGTACGGTGCTTCTTATTCCGCTAGGGTGAAAGTATCACTAGATAACGCAGCATTTGTCCAGGACTGGGACAGTAACGCGGCATATGTACAGGACTGGGATAGTTTTAGCTACAATGTAATAGTGCAGCAGCTGGCAGGGGCAATTTCAGCAGCAACCTATTACTCTTGCCTAGAGGTACGACGATCCACAGTAGCACGACTAACAACAGCAACAACACTTGCCGTGGGAAAAATACTTAGTGGTGCCGCTTTTCGCCGGATATAGCTGAGATTTACCGGTGTTTCTGCCGTGTATAGCCCTAGAACTTATGAACACTGTATTAGAACTCGACCCCCGCCATTAGCCTGCATTCAATACTGGCGAGTAGTAGCCACAAAAGGTGCGGTTCAACCAACTGCGTTTACTTGTACACAATTAAGCTCTCCTTATAAAAGTGGTGTCCATAACTCCGCTTACTTGTAGGGTAGCTGTGAATAGGGTGGCTTCGAGTTTGGGGCCCCAGCTTGGGGGCCCCACGGAGCATTGAACAAGAAGAAAAAAGTGCGTATTTGAACAACAGTATATATAGGGATGGCCTGCGCTTTCGGGTGTCCTGTCGGCACTCATCTAGGTCTCCCGCGGCAACCCATCCAGGGCGGTGCGCTGCTGAGTACGGAGCAATTCTCTCGCCCTTCATAATCCAGAACCGGTAAAGGCGTGCCCCGCTTTGTGCTGCGGAGGCAAAGAGAATGACGCCTGCAGCGCTATGAGGCGCATGCCGCCTGATTGGTGGATGAGGTCCTATGTGATTGTGTGTTGGAGACCTTTCAGATTTTTTCTACACGGGCTTTTCATGTAGGTTAGCTGTAAACACCAGGGAACTACGTAAAAGAGACTAGTGTTCGGAAGTTCTGTGGCAATGCGTTTAGCCCCCACCCATGCGTAATATCTATCTTTCTTAGCTTTCGGTTTAACTGCCTGCTATCCGCGTTCTCTACATTATTCTACCTGATTTCACTCCGCTGCGTTATCGTTTGCAGCAAATGCTAGACTATTTTATAGCTGCTGCTTTAGGTTTAAATGCAGTTACATATATCTCCCTCTAGGTTTCTGTCTCTCCTATGGGCATGGAGAAAGCCTTCGTCATAAGTTGGGCGGTAAAATTATGGGACTGTGGGAGAAGGCTGGTCCAAATATTTTGGGAAAAAGAAGAGGAACACGCGGCATGCAACAAGTCTGCAAGCAATTTGTTGGCCAAAACACGGACACATCTCTTTAAGCTCATTACGGTATCAAGTTGATGACGTGCAATCCACTATTTTGGACATCGTCGAACATGTCCTTGTAAATAGCGGTGAACACTGTAAAGACATTTCTGACCTGGGTAGCAAATTTTGCATTTTCTGCCCTTACGAAGTACACTAGACAAAATCAAACAATATCACCTAAAGAGCAGCTCCGCAAAAAAAAAAGTCTGGAATGCTTTCCTAAGATTTAGCTTCCACCTAGGCTGAAATTGGTATGCCACAGAAATCAGGACGCAATTAGACGGCATACGACAAGTGCGTTTCAGAGTTCGATGGCGGGAGGGGAGCAACTGATATTTGTAGTGTGCTTCACAACAATTTGGGTGTTACGCAGGCGTACATATATATAGCAATTGTTGTTGCTGTTCCTGCAGCAGGGAGTTTCGGTAGAGGCAATGGGCAGGCCGACCGTTCATTTATAGACCGGGTGGCTGATATGAATAAAATAGTTGTTTTTAGGCTTAGCCATTCGCTGCCCTGATAACAAGGGAAGTCTATGCTTAAACATGAATTGAAAAGGCTTGTCATTTTCTGGTTTTAACCGGGCAATTTTCGGCTGCTCATCGTAAAAGGATTTCGTCATGGAAGTGAATCCTCCCATGCAACTGCTGCGTGCTTGTACACATTGACCAAAACATCTTTATACTTGGCTGCGTGCTAGAACACTGTAAAGACTTTTCTGACCTGGGTAGCAAATTTTGCATTTTCTGGCCTTACGATGTACACTAGACAAAATCAAACAATATCACCTAAAGAGCAGCTCCGCAAAAAAAATAGTCTGGAATGCTTTCCTAAGATTTAGCTTCCACCTAGGCTGAAATTGGTATGCCACAGAAATCAGGACGCAATTAGACGGCATACGACAAATGCTTTTCAGAGTTCGATGGCGGGAGGGGAGCAACTGATATTTGTAGTGTGCTTCACAACAATTTGGGTGTTACGCAAGCGTACATATATATAGCAATTGTTGTTGCTGTTTCTGCAGCAGGGAGTTTCGGTAGACGCAATGCGCAGGCCGACCGTTCATTTAGAGACCGGGTGGCTGATATGAATAAAATAGTTGTTTTTAGGCTTAGGCATTCGCTGCCCTGATAACAAGGGAAGTCTATGCTTAAACATGAATTGAAAAGGCTTGTCATTTTCTGGTTTTAACCGGGCAATTTTCGGCTGCTCATCGTAAAAAGATTTCGTCATGTGTATATCACGAGGGTTCAATTCTATGTTTTTGTCGTTTTCCGTCCATTTTTTTGTTATTCTAAGTAACATTCTCCTAGGCAGTGTATTTGTCGTTTTCCGTCCATTTTTTCGTTATGCTTAATAGCATTCTCCTAGGCAGTGTATTTGTCGTTTTCCGTGCATTTTTTTGTTATCCTAAATAAGTTTCTGCTAGGTAGCCCAAAAGAATTGTAAAGGGGTTTGCCCCCATTGTTTGGTTCTACTCAGATATTGGTAACGCCGATTCACCAGTTGTGGGCAACGAACGAAAGCGTGAATGCGTACGAGTAGATGCCAATTCTTGAAACATGCTGTGAGAAATTGCTAAAAGTACACCAAAAAATTTCTAGCCACCAGCATGCAGTTGGTATTTCAAGCTAAAGCCGGCCACCTTACACTGTTTAGCAAGGTAACAGCTCATAGATTCCCACAGAGCGCTGTTGTAGGGCTCATTATAAGTCAACAAATTTCTAGCTTCTACCGTGCACTGGGTCCTAAAAGATAATCCCGGGCTCATCAAAGTGTTTAGGAAGATAACAGCTTTTAGATTGGTACAAAGTTCTTTTGTGTCTGTGGCGCATCGGGAGAAGCCAACAAAAAAATGCGCTTTACCGCACCACACCTACGATTTGCCATCGAATGGTTTAACACTCGCAGAATCCGAAGATATCCTAGGACAATGATCCGAAACTTTACGAGCGCACAGGCCTATTGCCGTGCTAGTGGAAGAATTTGACAACAACGAATTCATCTGGTTTTCCCCCAAAAAGTGTATGTGTTTGAGTGCGCGCCACAATACCGCCGAAAATTCTTGGTTCGAGGAAATTCTTAACCTCCTAACGACGTCATCGTAGTGCTATTTTGCTAGTGCTTGTGCCTATTCCCAACAATTGGAATTGGATTAGATCTTGTAATATTGCGTGAGCTTTTGGATATCAAGGTGTTCCGTACTGGTTCAGGGGGACATCTCGAATGGCAATAAGGAGCACAAAAATATAGAAATCACATCAGCGGTAAAACATTCAAAGAAAAATCGACAGAGAAAATATTTTTTCATAACTGGTATACTCCACTGTATGCAATGTTATTCTCATATATTTGCGAATATCGGCAGTCAGCAACAGTGACCACGTAATACTGTTGCTACAAGTGAATGACTAAACACAGCCAGTAGAGAGCATCCGCTGAAAGAACCCACGCATGTTCATGTCTATCTGGTTAAGGAAGAACCATAGAATCATACCGTCTTTACGTGTTTCTCTGCGGATTTACAAAGAATGTAGTAGCAAAAGCTCATGCTCTTTTGGGCGAGCGGCATGTTCGCACGTTGACAAAAGTAAATGCCACCCGGAAGATACAGACAACAGGGTAAATAAGCTTACCTCGAGAAGCAGAACTTTCACGAGATTGAACAAGGCTGAGCTAAAAAATATAAACGGGTTTCTAACAGCTGGTCGTTGAGAGCTTGCTGTACCATCTACCCCCATTTAGCTACGCCTGCATGAATATTAGAATATATTTGCATTGAGGGCGCTGCAGGAGACAACGAGTCGATGCTTCATACTTCATAGCTGCCTATTTACAAATTAACGACAACAGCAAGAATACGTTCGTGCGGAAAGATAATAAACCTGCCTATTCATAAATGTAGAAATAGCTTACATATGTACATGGATAGATATTTTTGAAAACAGCAGAAACGGGAACTTGAACATAGCAGCGCAAACGCCTCTAATCAAAAAAGTACAATATAGAGTCTTCAACGGTCACTACTAAACTCTAGGAACAATTTCCAGTCTTCGCCAGAGACTGCCGAAGGGACACTAGCTGGAGAATCACACGAAAAGTTTAATCGAAATCCATGCATATTTCGAATTTTTTTAAGTTTTTTTAGCCTCTTGTGAATGCTGTTCCTGCTTCGCTCTTTTTGCGGCACTTGAATAATTCAATTTTTTTACGACAGCTATCCTTTGCCGGTTTTGTGGTTCGTCCCTGCTGACCGACGCCTGAAAGTCTCCCTTGCCTCCTAGGGCACGCTCACAGCAGCCTGAGTATGCGT